TACGCGTCAAAAGCTTCCTCAAGGGCTCCAAAGGAAGCCGACTGAAAACGCAAATCAGTCTTGAAATCCTGGGCGATTTCACGAACCACTCACAGGAAGGGGAGCTTACGGACGAGCGACTCCGTCGACTCTGGTAACGACGGATCTCACGAAGGGCTACAGTTCCGGGGCGAAAACGATGGGACTTCTTCACTCCACCAGTGGATGGGCGCCGATTTTCGGGCAGCCTTGGTGGCCAGCTGCTTACGGGGAGCCTTTCCTCCGGTCGACTTGCTGACGGTCTATTAAGTAAGGGCAATATTATCTTCTTTTACGTTGAACACGACAAAAAAATTACATTTTCACTCGCAAATTTTTTTTGTACACAAGAACGAACCAATTCGGACTCCAAAAAATTTCACAATGAAGTAACGTGACTATTTTGGACAATGTCAAAAATTGAGAAATCTCAAGGCTACATTGAATAAAATTAAAAAAAAAAATTGGTAGATATTACAGTTTTTGACAATCAATTGCATTTAGAAAAATTTTCAAAAAAAGTAGAACTACAGTTTCTTATGTTAAGCTGTTTTTAGACGTTTTTGGACAAAGTAAAAAACAAATAACATTTTTATTTGAAAAGCCCTCCAAAATCTGGTTTTGCGCTAGAATTTTAAAGATTTGTAGATTCAAAAATGTCAACTTTTCTAAGTTCAAAATATGGTAATATGGACGGCAGACATATTTCATAAATATATGCAGATGACTAACAAATTTTAAATCTATCGGACAGTAAAAAACCAATAGAGTGACATTGAAAAGTATGAAATTATTTTAATAACAAGGAAGAACGCTATAGTCGAGTACCTCGACTATCAGATACCCGTTACTCAGCTATATGGAGATATGCAAGCAGCAAAGAGAGATTAAAATGCGCCACCTACCGGCGGTATACAGATTTAAGCGTTATGGGCGTTAGAGTGGGCGTGGCAAATTTTTTTTTGGATCAATCGATAGGTATCGACGAGACCAATACATTTTAGTTAAAATTTTTTATCTAGCATCAAAACTGTAGGAGCCACAGTTTTGGGCGGTTTGTGGGCGTTAGAGTGGGCGTGGCACTGTGCTGAAACAAACTTGCGCTGCGTAAGAAGCTCAGGAATCTGCACGCCAAATCTCAATAGCCTAGCTCCCATAGTTTCCGAGATCTCAGCGTTCATCCGGACAGACGGACAGACGGACAGACGGACATGGCTAGATCGACTCGGCTAGTGATCCTGATCAAGAATATATATACTTTGTGGGGTCGGAAACGCTTCCTTCTGCTTGTTACATACTTTCCGACGAATCTAGTATACCCTTTTACTCTACGAGTAACGGGTATAAATATGTACTGGATATGTAGTTTTATTGTATGTAAAGTTGTTCAATAAGGTTTAATAAAAAAAAAAAACGGTTTTTTAATGATCTTTTGATAAAATACCTTACGAAGATAATCCAAGCGCCATTCTGCCAAATAAAAAAAAACAAAAATCGGTCGAACTATACGTAAACTACATAGTATACGGAAAGACCCTAAGTAGAATTAAACTATATTAAGTGAAATTAATTGCTGGTAAAGTTAAAGCTATTGTGAGCATTGCCAATAATATTACAAATTGTTCAGAAGTGCTATGGAAATCGATAGCGATACGAGATAAAGTATAAATATTTCTAGAATAGATCAATCAATACCAAAAAGCGAAATGTGACACCCTCGATTAAACCATTTTTCTAGGTGTATGGAGGACTTTATTTATGGACTTCAATGTGCCGGAAGTTTCCGATTAGCCCGCTCTAGGCGTGTGCCCATTTATCAAATAAAATAGAGAGAGCACACTGCAGAAGAGTCGGAATCTCCAGTTAATAACTTGATCGACTCTGAAATGCGGGCTGAACTTTCTGGGGTTCTATATACAATTTCACTGCTGCGGTAGGTAGAAACTGGAAATGCTGAAAGAAAAGAAGAAACGTTAAGAGCGCGCGTTAAACCTCTTAACTTCCCATTCAGCTTTGACAGTTTTCCTAATGTATTGTGGCCGGGGCTGCGCTTCCTCTATTCAGAAGACCGAAAACGCACAGAGACAACAGATACGACGACTCGAGACACCTTTGTTTGGGAACCCACCGGGGAATTCGTCTTGAGAATCTATTTGTTTGTTGTCGCACTCGGTGTAATGATCTGCGTTTGTCATTCCGAAAGGTTAACTAAACACGGACTCCCAAGCATTGCGTGGGAGTAGATGCTGGAAAGGGGGCGGGGACGCGGAGGAGGGAGTTCCAGCGAACAGATGTTTCAGCAGAAGTGACAAACTGCTTTTAACGTTTACCCGGGAATCTTTCACTTTTTATGAAATTCATTAGGAATGTCAAACAGTTGGGAAAAGAGTAGGTACCTTGCATGTATAAGTCATTATAGCAGTTTAACTTCAGTATTTCCTTGTACTTAATTTTCAGAGCGTATCTAAGCAGTGTTTTTGGGTTCTAACATGAAAATGAGGTAAATAATTTGTACTTCGAAAAGCAAAAGAATAGCTTTTATCTATTTCGAAAATCAATTGAAATGCTATAAAAAATATTGTATACCAGAAGTTACTTGCTTTTACATATGTATTTTCCACAAAGAAAGTATCAGCTCTGTCATCACAAAGCCAAATGTAATTTTGGGATCTTGCCTATGGTTTTTGGTGAAAATTCAGTTCAATTCGTTCAGTCAATGCTGGGCTACGAATAGGTTGTACAACAGAAAAAGTCGAGATTTACGAGATCAGTGAGGAGAACACAATTCGTTCTACCTTCCCGGAACATTGGTTGTTTCAGTTGCCAGCCATGATGATGATGATGGGCCCGTCTCCGAAGGAGGTCTGAACCCATAACTCATCATTAATAACCGAACCTAAATAAGACGTTTTATTGTTGTAAACCAAATTGAATTCCCGCTGAGAGAGTCGGGAAGAGAAAGAGATCAGAGCGGACTCAGCCCGTAGATTATCGATGCGAGTGTCCAGATATATCTCCTTCTCAGGTGTTACAACTTGTCGGCACTGGACCAAAGGAATAAGACATCAAAGGCCACTGGGAACGGGCAGTCCGTTGTTATTATTGTTATTATTATTATTGTTGTCCCGGCTCACACTTCCTACACCCGGGGCAATGTCATAATTAAAACAATTTCGGGCCCCGTACCGTCCAGCCGTACCTTCTACATATAATCTGATTTGCTGGGAATTCTTCTCGCTGGATTTGCTTTTTTTGCGCAAGTGCAAAAGTCGCTGGAGATCAAAGTCAAAGTCGATGTCGAAGCCATCTCGCCTCGGGCGTTAATCTGGCGTATACGGCTTCTGTTACCTGTTGTCGTTGTCTCAACTCATCTCATCTCATCCGCCGGCTGATCTGCTGTCGGATCTGCGGTCCGTCCTCTGTCGTCGAACTCGGACCCTCTGCTTACAACAGTTTCCGTAATTCCGTAAAAGCGATTTGTATTCTTCTTTTGGCTGGAGCGATTCTGCGAAACTAATTGATTATTTTGCTTTTTTGCTGCCGGCAACGGAAGACAAGTTAATTTTCTCACACCTTTTTCTACGAATTAATTTGTTTTGTTGGGGACTCCAATGGTGATTTCGGGTAATCAAGGTGGGCTCCCTGATTGCAGATAATCGTAAGATGTTATGATCAAAGATTTAGTTGGAAAAACAATAAAAGTCTTTCTCACATTTGAAATGAACAGGTGCTTATAGTCTTTACATGAAGGTTTTACCCATGAATGGTTACGGTCTTTTAATACCAATTTATTTACCAACTAATAGTTTCAATTTATCCTAAAAATGAATTGTATCTCATTATAAAGGTAACAGGTTTTAAACTGTAAATGTCCTTACTTTTACTAGTTTAAAAACCACCTAACGACAAGTGAATGGAATGCTCAGTCCTCACTCGCAACCTATATAAATTCTTCAAAGAAACCACAGCTAATTCTAGCAGCTTTCAAAAAGTAAATATGCTTCCGAATTTCTGCTGAAAAAACAAACAATTTGGGTAGCAAATTACCAAGGCAAATATTTGCCTAAAAAAGATACACAAAGCAATTCCAGAGATTTAGCTGATTCACGGGCCCCCCAAGTAAATATGATTATGCGCCCAATTTAACGAGGACAAGCCAAATCTTTCGCTTCTCTTCACCCATTAAAATAGTTGGCGGGGGGAAGGAAACGTCCGCTGCGATGAGGGAAACTTTTTGAGGGACCACCACGAATTAACCTACCTACAAATTATGTTGGTATGGCTAGGAGAGATTCCCAGATCAGGGTCCGAAATTGACAGACATACAGACATCCGGATTGGTGTAGATCGTTCAGATATACTCGTATGTATATACAGACATACCCGCAACATGTGCTGCCAGCATTGAATAACCCGAACGAAAACACAGGAAAAAACTCTGCGGTCGCCTTACATTTATTGATTTCATCGCAGCAACATCGCCGGCGCAGAAAAGTGAGGAGAAGACTCGGGAAGATTCGGGACGGAGACGGAGACGGACGAAGACTGGCCAGGGAAGCCGGGGCAAACGGGTCTTCTGGCTCTGCTGCGCATCGCATTAAGCGTAGAACAGTGGCAGCCGCACAGCCCAGAGGGATTTACCCCACACCCATCAACATTTCAACTTAATTCCTTTTTTGAGTCGCTTTCTGTCAGGCCCGAAGATGAAGATGCCCCACAGTTGGCATAGGCGACTGTTTGGGAGAGCTCCATTGACCATGAATGGAACCACTAACTCCAATAAGTCGAATTCGGAAAAATCTACAGAATTTGTAGGAATTATTTTTAATTAATTTAATTATATGTACCTTTAGCTAAAACTTTAAAGAAACCCATGACCAATAACAACAAATATCAAAAAATTATTTATTTAGTATTTTGGATTTAACTTTTTTGAAAATGTCTTACGTATTCATAAGGAAGACGCTATAAAATGGCTTTCATTTAAAGACATTGACGGTAGCATATTGTTATGTCCTTTCCTTCCAAAAAAGAGAAACTTCAGCAGCATAAAACTTGAGATGTGCCGGCTTGCAACGGAAATCGGTGAAGTTGGTTAACATTTTTATTGATCCTGGCATCACCGAAAGACCTCTTATGATATTAGAAATATGTTATCACTTTTATGAAAATCATGATAAAAAAATCAAAACTTGGTTTTGAATTTTTAGAAATCATCATTTTCAAATAAGAGATTTGTATTCTAAAAGCAGATCATTGGTCTAGTCTTCCTGGCCGAAGTCCTTCAACCTTGATGTTTGCGTTGCTGATTGCCAAGGTGCTGCCTGCGATTGCCGCGTATGCCATGAATTTGTTCCACTATACGTGCAATCATGTTGCCAGAGTCCGACTCCGCGGCTCTGTGACTCTGTGACTCTGGACCTGGACCTGGCTTCTGGACCTGGCTCCTGGGTTAGCTCCGATCCCCATACCCCGATCCGAATCCAGCGTGCATACATATGTATGTGTGTAAATCAGTAGCTCCGTATTGAGTCGTTGACGTTACATGAACTTTGGCTACGGTTCAATTCGGGCCGAGACCGGCCACTTTACGATGCCATCGCGGGGAGACTCTTGAGCGGCTTAGGGGAATTTCGTTTTACATTTTACAGGATCACTTTGGCCATGGCCATGCCTGGTTGGCTTGATGCGATCGGGCTGACATATCGTTCAGGGAAGACGTTAAGTTTCTCAACTTCTTTTCGGGCATTTGGAGATGTCGGTTTCGCTTTCGTTGGAATCGGATCATGAGGGAGAAAACATCTTTTTGCACTAGTGCTGAGGTTGACTTCTTCTAAACCAATACACATTTTCTTTCAGATTCAAAATTTGCTTTCTAAGTTAAGCTTAAAAAGCTACAGGGCAAATCATGGCCGGATTTAGCTCAAAATAACCGAAATATGGTCACTAAAACTCGCTGTACGGGTAATATATTCCCCTACAGCTTTCCCATACACATTGTTTAATGTCGTTTCTTGACATACGAAGATGCTAGTGCTTGGGGAAGGCATTTTTAAGCCTACGTTGAAAGGAACCATATTTGTAAACTGTACTGTTTTGCACGATTAAAAAGCTGGAAGACTGGGATTCGCTTTAAGCTGTAAAATATCTACAACAAAAATTGTATATTTTTAATAGTCCAGTCATTGAAGGTTATCTCTGTTCCTATAGCAAAAAAAAAGAATAAAATAATGGTTGATTAAACCATTAAGAAGAAGAAGAAATTATTACTTACCGATACAATCGCATGATCATTCCTTAAAGTTTTAGTGTACACCCGCCTCGTTGTTCTTCAGAAACTTCGAATATAGTTTCTGATAATCTCCTCGAACCTATGGAAAATATATAAGTAAGCCGCTGGAAATTCTCACGACAGTGTCATATAATCCTGCACACCTAATCCAATCAGAGGTGAGTAGGAAGTGCACCATTCGCCATCGGTTATCGCCTTCGTCACGGCCACCCGCATAAGACGTCATCAAAGTGGATTTATGCAGCACCTTACCGCCCGACGACAAAACCCAATGCCCAATCCCTAAGCCATTAGTCTGTCTTGGCAATTATCAACGCCGCGGCGGATGACTCACGTATGACACTCAAGTCATAATGGAAATGGAGAAGGCACTTAGCCAAGGGCCGAATGGCTTTTACGGCCAACACCGTTCGGGCCAAATTTAGACATTATCCGGGGATCCGAGAGACATTCGGATCATTGTTTGTTCAACTGCTTTGCGGTTGTGTGAATGCGTATAATTCCGTTTTATGGCTCCTGTGCACCACCGTCATCATCATCAGCAGCAGCAGCTGCGACCACATCCACCTCCCACTCCGTCCACTCCGACGGTATAGCCACATTCCTGATGGAACGGACCTCAAAGGCAGACGAGAGCCCCAGCCCCCGACTACATAAAATTGTATTTAGTCATGCTACATCACTTTGTAATAATTTTCATTTTGGCGCTTGCTTTGATCTTCAGCCGCTTTCCGTGTGTGATGCCTCCGGCTCTTTGGCTCCACCTCATCCCCGCCACTTGGCCATAATCTTTGGACCAAAACTGCCACCGTGCGGCGTTCGTCGAGCTGCGTTAAAATTTTCTGAAATTATGAAGTCAGCCGAAACCGAATCCGGGCGCCAAGTTTGTTTTTTCATCTTTTGTTGATTTTCTCCCCGCTTTTTTGCATTTTTTCCCATCGGTAGACTGTGCAATTTGATTGAGCAATCATCAATTGTGCATGAAGCAAACGATTTGCGGTGAGTGAAAAGAATGGAACAGTCTTATAGAGGCGTAATCGATATTTAGGAATGGAATCGCCCATGCAAATCTTCTTAAGCTGGCCAGAGATCTGTGTCTTGCCATTGAACATTATCATGGGGCTTTTAGTAGATGTTTTAACCTTAATCTATTGATAGAACACAATGTTGTATTTAGTAAGTAAAAATTCTTAACATATTGTTGTATTTCTTTTCAATTGCTCTAATTTCTTTATTTCTCATTGATAATGATAACATTCTTAAAAGCGATATCTTTGTATATTTTAATATGTGTCTTTCATCCCAATCATTCAAATATGAGCTGCATAGTCAAAATGAAAAAGGTTCGAAGGATTAAAATTCTATTTGCACACATTTATAATATTGAAATTAATATTATATGCCCTATTCTGCAAAGCCCCATTTCACCTTAGTTTGCAAAATCCCTCATATAAATCGTTTTCATATGACCCTACCTAAGATCCTTTACCCCATTCCCGTACCGATTCGCTACCCCACATGAAGTCTGTTTACCCACAAGTCTGTCACGGCTAACAATTCGGAAAATTGTTGACATGCAAATGGCAACGAGCCATGTAAACTGACCAGCGAAGTGAGCAGCGGCTCATATATCATCGTGTAGGCAGTTGACCGACCGTTTTCCCTATAAATAGCACGTGTTGGCTGTGTGTTTGACCTTAGCACGATTTCCAAGTGCAATGATTTCTTTGGAAATAGCATAGGATCTGGTTTTATGGACTCGACTAACTGCTGTGACCTTGTTTTCCCCTCTTAAATGTTTTGGTTCTTTTGCTTTCGAGTATTTTATAGCTGTTGACGCTGGCAATTAGCAAGGTAAGCGTTCTGAACGTGGATAATCGGAGACATTCGGGAAAAGTTGCGAGGTATTTAGAGACGGTGCAATATTAGGATAGCTCAAAGTTAATAATTTTTTTAAACCACTTTTTAAATGGTGAATGGTAAATTTTAGATTTTTGGTCCCTCTTTAAAACACAGTAGATACTCAAAATATCTTCTTTTAAAAATTCAGAATGTTACAGGAATATTTTACCCAAAAGTATGCAGCTCTTTCTTTTGATATATGCATTACTCAAGTTGACAGTCCTTTTCAATGATTTATTCTCACTAAATGGATCGCTTCACGAATTTGAAAAGGTGGTATGTTATTTCTTGGTTCCTAAAACTAAGTTGAAGTGCCGAGCAACCGCTTTACGATCATTGTCTGAAATTTGCATCCCATCCAAGTGCTCGCCTCAAGTTAAGAGAGCAATTAATTATGGCCATTGGGCACGGGCAATATGTGTGACAGCCATGAAACACGAGCGAGGACCAGGCCTCAGAGACAGAAACTGGAAATGGACATGGGATCTGGGATCCGGGATACGGTCTCTGGATCTGGGATCGGGGATCTGCGACGGGACCACACGCATCGTGTGTGACGGCGATAAAAATCACAGCATGTTGCAAACAGCCCATTGACGTCCTCTTCGGCCGGCCGTTAATGCTGTTGTTGGGCAAATCTTTTGACAGTTGTGTTGAAGCATAAAGATGCCAAAAGCAATAACATAAAGCCGCCAAGTGCGTATCTGAAGCGTCTGGGGCACTCGGAGCCACGAAAAGCGCATCAATCAAACGTACCGCCAACCGATCCCCACACCCGAACCCCATATACATACGGATAGCTACGGCCATACCCACACGCTCGCGTTCGATCAATCATTTATTATGGCATCGCTGATGGCGGCCCCAACGTTGGTGGCCCCCACCCGAAAAAAATACAAAACACCCATAGGCACACACAGAAAAACACAGAAAATACTTGGAAAATATAGCTAATTTTCTATGGGCCATATAAATTCGTTTTTAGTTTCTGTTTTCGAGGGGGGCGGACAGTTAATTTTGGGCACGAAAAGCAATTGTATCGCACGCCTGTCAGATCCACTTATATGATCGTATTTGATGGGCTGGAGACGCATAATGGGGCATATGGCATTCTATAATGGCTGGGGGATATATACGAACTTACTATTTTTATAGCAACCTCTTAAATGAACGTTATAGTATACTGCACACAAGACTTCACCGATTAATATTTAAAATGTTTTGGTGACCTATATTATATAAACTGAATGATTTATAGTGTATTTTATTAACAATTGAACAACAAACTGAATATATTTTATGTGAAAACAAGGGAGAACGCTATAGTCGAGTACCTCGACTAGCAGATACCCGTTACTCAGCTAAATGGAGATATGCAAGCAGCAAAGCGAGATTAAAATGCGCCACATACCGGCGGTATACAGATTTAAGCGTTATGGGCGTTAGAGTGGGCGTTTTTTTTGTGGACCAATCGATAGGTATTGACGAGACCAATACATTTCAGTTAAAAATTTTTATCTAGCATGAAAATTGTGGGCGTCACAGGGTTTTGCGGTTTGTGGGCGTTAAAGTGGGCGTGGCAAACTTTTTTTTGGGTCAATCGATAGGTATTGATGAGAACATTACATTTCAGTTAAAATTTTCTGTCTAGCATCAAAACTGTAGGAGCCACAGTTTTGGGCGGTTTGTGGGCGTTAGAGTGGGCGTGGCAGTCTACTGAAACAAACTTGCGCTGCGTAGGAAGCTCAGGAATCTGCACGCCAAATCTCAATAGCCTAGCTCCCATAGTTTCCGGGATCTCAGCGTTCATCCGGACAGACGGACATGGCTAGATCGACTCGGCTAGTGATCCTGATCAAGAATATATATACTTTATGGGGTCGGCAACGCTTCCTTCTGCCTGTTACATAATCTCCGACGAATCTAGTATACCCTTTTACTCTACGAGTAACGGGTATAATTACAATAATTTTAATAAACTTATAAGTTAAATTTGTATTATTTATTAACAACTTAAAAATAACATATATATTAAATGTGAAATTATCAAATTCTGTTGATTATAATCATGTATTATAATTAAAATATATTTACAATGCACATATAATAATACAGTAAACTTACGAATTTCGAATTTGAACTTTTTATAGAATTAGAATTGATAGCATTAATCAAATTATTAAAAATTGCCAAGGTATTCTTAAATATAAAATGTAATTATTTAACTGATTAAGTTACTTGTTTTCAAACAACATAAATCAAGACTTAAATAAAAGCTATAATAAGTATTCAGAATGAATTATACCCTCTACTATTTGAAGCTTCCCTCGTTATCATTAATTTTGATGACGGACACAGAAAACCGAGTTATGATTAATAGTCCGCGACAGAATTCGAATTGCTTAATATTCCCCAGACCCATTTATTTGATTGACATTTTGCGCTTGCCTTATCGCGCCCAGTCAATGAAATAAACATTTTAATTCTAATTAAATTTCGTTGGAATTAATTGCAGCCCGTACGAATAAAGACACGAAACGGGGCCCAAAGCGAAACGACGAGTCACAAAAAACAAAAAGCGAACAAATCACGCGAGCTTGGACCGCCCAAGTGGTTTTTTCTTCGTTGGTGGCCACATCCCCACATCCCCATCCCCAATCAGTCGACAACGAAAATTTAGTTGTTTAGTTGTTGCTGTTTCTGGGGCTCTGGCTTTGCCGGGGCTCTTTATCGCCACCATAAATATGGAGATTTTTCATTAGCGATTTCCGTTTCCGATTTATCTTAATGGCCGGCTGACTGTTGTTGTTTTGGTTGTTGTAATTAAGAAGAGCTACCGTTTGATGCTTTGGCAAAACATGTTGCAGCAGCAGCAAGCTGAATCCACCAATGAAACCACCGACAACCAAACCGGCAACCACCACACAACCACGACGGACATGGCCCGAAGAAGAGCTTCGCGTGTGGTCTTTTATCAGGCTTTTGGCCAACTTGGGTGGCAACATGCCATTCACCAATCACACGTACACAGGAACACGAAAAAAAATTAATAATCTTTCTTATAAAAAAAAATCTATAATTCATAACAATAATAATGCTTAATTCATAATTCAAAATTTTCAATTTGAATTATAGCTCATATTATTTACAAGAAAGTGTTAAAATTGTTGTTAAATTCTATCTCACAGTTATCGTGTGAGAGTTCAACAAAATCGAAAAATCATATTTTTCGATTGCGATACGATTGCCATCTTTATTACTGATACAATGAACGACTGACTTATAAAAAATTCGAAGTATATGTACAAGAACTAGCCTAATTTCACGCTGAATATTTAATTTACAACTAATATTTCGGCAGATAGAAATAAAACTAACAAAAATGTACTCATTTTAATATACCTGCTTTCAATGATCTAAGTTGATTCAAAACTCAGAAAGTATTTAAGCCAAAAAACATATAAAATGTTATGTTGGTAAAAACAACTATAAAATATTCGGATTTATCTACAAAATGTTATAATATTGTGGATTGAAATGGAATCTTTTAATCATGAATCTTACAATCAGTGATAAGATATATATTAAAACCATTTTAAAGATCCAATTTCTAATCGATTAGTTACACATATATTTCATAAAATAAATTTACCTAATTAATTCGGACCTTTATCTAAAAATTAGTACAAAATTCAAGGGTCACAATGATATTTTACATACAATACGAAATATATTTTTCAGTGTAGCCCAGTCTGTCGGCGGCG